GAGGGAGGGAGAAAGAGGGAAGGGGGGGCAGGGGAGGGAGAGGGAAGGGGGGAATGGGAGAAGCAGGCTATAGTGGTTTCGTTTTTCTCTCCTGATGGGGAAAATGAGCAGAGGCAGGCCAACATCGGGAAGGAGTGGAGGGGAAAACAAGCGGACATGACGGTGGGACATGATGATTGTAGGTTCTAAATGACCATGCCAGAAAGAGGTCTCTGGATTCAAATGCAATTGGAGGGAGAGGAGGATGTGGGGAAGTAAGAATGAGGGAAAAGGAAGATGGGTGTGCCAGTCATTGGGGACTTGAGATCAGGGCGACGCAGGACAAGTACAGCCATTGTGGGGAGATGGGATCAGGTCAAAGGAGGATGGGTGCAACATTTGAGGGAAGGGAGTGGGTAAAGAAACACAAGCTGCCCCAAGTGGCTTGATCGTCTTTCCGGGTTCCTCGTTTTTGTCTTTCTTTTGTTCGTGTGTGGCTCGAGCGTCTTTTTCATTTTCTTATTTTTTGCTTTTCTTTTTTGTGTGTGAGAGAGAGGGGGAGTTGGAGGGGGGAGGGGAGAGGTTAGGAGTAAGGGTCGGGGAAAGGCTAAGGCTCAAGATCACACAAAGTGGCTGCGCCATGTGGCACAATATTAATCGTTTCCTTTCCATTGCGGGCGGCAGGGAGGGAAGCTCGGCAGAGGGGGGAAGTTCGAATCCAGATACAATCAGATGACCAGAATAGAATCATTCTGAATTACCTTGGGTCAGTCAGTTCAATCATGATACCTCAAGGCCGTCGCCCTTTTAAACCGCCTCTACCCCCGCCATCCTAAATTCGGGGGGACCAGAAGCACAGTGGGGAGAACTGGCAGAGTGGCAAAACTGGAAAATACGTCGGTTGCCGCCGTGATTTGTTTAGCGGTTGAAACAAATTTTTACTTTTATTTTTTGAATATCTTTTGTGGAAAGATCACGACCAAATCTAAGGACCTGCCAGTTTTCAGATTTCTTGACATATTCTTTTGAGCGTGAAAAATCGCTGAAGCTCAGGTACTTTTCCCGTTGGCCCACACGTGGTAGAGCGGCAAAAATGGAAAATGAGATGAATTAGCGCATCATGTATTTCACGGTCTTAAATATATATTTTTAATTTCTGTAATATTTTCGCGGAAAGATCACGACCAAATCTACAGACGTTCCAGTTTTCAGAGATTCTGAGTCATTCTTCTGAACGCAAAAACAAACAGCGGAAGTTGGGGTACTTTTTCTGTTGACCCACACGTGGTATAGTGCCAAAAATGGAAAGTGCATCGAATCAGTGTGGCATTTATGCAAGGAAAATGAGCAGTAGCGAGATGACAATATCCAGAATGCACAATCACATTGAAAGCCAGAAAGTATCACAGTGTCCAGAAAGCAGCATCGCACTAATATGACACCAATGGAGAACCGTAACACTGAAAAGCAATGTCAATGAGAGCTTGCTCTCGCCACCACCAACACGAGTCCAGGACCTTCTCCCTACTTGGCGCTCGGCGCCCACCCTACTTCCTACACAGCTACAATCTGCCTACTAATTGACCATGCAACTGTTGACGTCAGCAGCCCACGAAGTACTTGAAGATGTCCCCCAATGCAGACCATCGCCGATACCAGGTATGTGCCCTCACATCATCATCATCATCATCCTTCTCTCTCTCCCTTGTCTCACACCCATGTCTTCCCTCTGTACACCCAAAGACCACCCCTGCGCCTCACTGTAGTCCAAGCCCATCCAGCTATGGAGGGTGGGCTATGGCGCTGCCTTCAGCAGCGCCCTGCTTCCTGCACGACCGCACGCGCGTAGCACCTTGCCCTTAGCGGTCAGCAGCCCGCGAGCAATCGCTCCAGCAGCGCTGCAGCATCCCCCCCTGGCAAGTGCCTGGATGCCCGCCCAGGGACCGAGCTCTTTCCTATATGGAAAGAGCCTGCCTGCTCCCAGCGGCCTGACTGCGCTGGGCCTCTGCCCCGAAGCTTCTGGTAGGCCCCAGGATGCTGTGCCTCTGTTGCAGCTACTGGGCCTCGTTCGGTTGGGCCTCCCAACTGTCTGTGTATGAGGCTGCAGTTCTTGCCCAGGGCCTGCATTTTCCGAAAAGGCCTGAAAGGCTGTGTTGCTGCTCGGTCTGTGTTTCCCTCAACCAACTGGCGCGTTTAAAAACAAAAAAAAAAGGTGCTCTATTCCTGATCGAGTGAGAGTTTTGGGTCGAGGTCTATAAGAAAAAAAGTAGGTGGTTCAGGGTTGCACACCCCGACGGTCGGCGGCCCTTGACTGGTCGGCTGCCGACCCGCCGACCGATCGGCTGGTCGGCACCTAGCAGTCGGGGATCATCGGCACCCGGGACTTTTTTTTTTTTTTTTTTTGGATCCA